CATTCCTAGGGTTCTCCCTTTGTACTGGAAACAAAAACACTCTTTAAGGAGTTTCACACTAAGTGGTTACAGATACCAAGCAGGATATCTATACTTCAGGGAAGATTCGGATTTTTTATGAGAATATGAGGGGAAAAAAAATTGGACTAATCACTCCAAAAATAATCAATTGTATAGCAGGTTTCTCAAATAGGGTTTTTGGGAGTACCTGAATTAAAAATAATAACTTGTTCAACATTTAAACCTTTAAAGTAAATGAAGCCCTAAAAGAGGAGGTACCATTTTTCAGAAGAGAAAATAGAGACAACGCTTGAATATTTTATAATAAAAAACCTGGTGATTTTTTTGTTTCATTTGGAAACAAAACAATCTATATCAAAGGTCAGACTATTAGGATATTTTGCTGAGGAAAAGGTAGATTATGTTAGTAAAGGTAATAAGGCTTAAAAAACCCACTCTTTACCTTTACTAACCTAATCTACCTTATGACCCTGCAATTGCACTGCTGGGTATTTACCCCAAAGATACAGATGTAGTGAAAAGAAGGGCCATCTGTACCCCAATTTTCATAGCAGCAATGGCCACAGTCGACAAACTGTAGAAAGATCCAAGATGCCCTTCAACGGACGAATGGATAAGGAAGATGTGGTCCATATATACAATGGAGAATTATGCCTCCATCAGAAAGGATGAATACCCAACTTTTGTAGCAACATGGACGGGACTAGAGGAGATTATGCTGAGTGAAATAAGTCAAGCAGAGAGAGTCCATTATCATATGGTTTCACTTACTTGTGGAGCATAAGAAAACACGGAGGACGTGGGGAGATGGAGAAAATTGAGTTGGGGGAAATCGGAGGGGGAGACAAACCATGAGAGACTGTGGACTCTGAGAAACACAATGAGGGTTTTGGAGGGGAAGGGAGTAGGGGTATGGGTGAGCCTGGTGGGTACTAAGGAGGGCACATATTGCATGGAGCACTGGGTGTGATGCATAAACAATGAATCTTGGAACACTGAAAAAACAAAATATAATTTAAATTTAAAAAAAAAAACACTCTTTAAAAGAAAACAATATGGAAGTCAATTATATTGGTCTCAGCAAAGTACCAGTGCAATATATACAGTTTGTGGCTGTTATTCTGTCCTGCTGTTAAGTCTGGAATGGGGCAGGTATTAATTGTCCTGGAAAACAAAATGCAATGTAAAAATTCTTAGGAAAAACATGCTTTTACCCTGCAGTCAAAAGAATGTTGCTTTTTAGATATTTCCTTGGCTGACACTATAGTTTCTTATTTCATAGCATTTTTGAAAAATTGATGGCTTAAAAAAGTAATCTGCCCTGACGTAATCACTTAGAGACGGTTAATCGTAATATCCCCATATAAAAGGCAAATGGCAAGAAAGAAGATGTGGAAAGCTTTGGGTCAAATTCTGTAAATACACAGAGTATCTGCTCAATAGAGAGGCAAACTGTGAAAGAAAAGGAACCTGCTTCTTATGCGTAATTTAAAATTGCCCATTCATTGTTCATTAACCCTAAGAAAGATAAAAGGGGAAAATTCATGTCAGCTGTCAGGAGTTAAAATGATAATAGGAAACCACTTTATCAGGGATAATGGATGAGCCATATCTGATTGTATTGACAGTTGTTTTATATAGCTTCATTGTGATGTTTCTATTTTCTTTAAATTCCCTTCTCAAAGTTTCCTAACAGGTTCTTTTAAATATTGCCAGTCAAAATGCCTTGAACAACAGGTTTCCATGGCTCTTAGCCGCCAAGGAGCCAAATCTGTTGACAAACACCAGAAGTCAGAAATCTAATTACAGCACAGAGGGTACCCTGCAGAGATCACGGCACCTCTGTACTCTAGAGGGAGTCTCCCATTCTTTACCAGGACAGAAAAAGTTACCTCTTTTTAAAGAAGAAAAGTGACATCTGCTTTGAATTTTATGTTTGAACATATTTTTTCAAGCTCTAAGTAAGACAAAAACATTAATTGCGTTCTATGTTCTTTCAAATATACTGCCTCACCAGGCTTTCGTATGGTGCTTCCCCAGGGTATTTCCACCATTGCCCCAATTTAGTTCTAAAGAATGTAGTAGTCTCCAACATCATTACTCAAAATATCTGGTCAGTGGGATTCAGAGGCTCCACACACTAACTCCAGGCCAGGATGAGACTAGAACTAAAACGATTTCAAGGTGGAATGAAAAACAGTGTGAAAACTGGATATATATCCAAACCCTTTGAGGAGAGGGGTAGAAGATACAGGCCTACTCTACAATACTACATCAAAATGATTTGAGATGCAATCGAATTTTATTTTAAAAGAAACTCACCATCATAAATAGGTTTGTGTTTCCAAAATAGTTTGGAAAAGGGACTTAGGGTTCAAGCTTCTCCAGAGGAGAATTTACATATGAACTTTTCCTAATTAACTCCTTACAGTTACTTTAGCGACAAAGATCTTGCTCCGGTATTTCGTGAGCCTTCACTATTAGAAGTGAAAAGAGCAAGTGTTTAAAACTCAAGGCAATTTTCAGATTGTGTGCTATTAAATTGGTAGAGGGAGCAAGTATAGAGGCTTGACTATGGGTTTGGGGAACAAGATCTCTAATTTTCCTTTCTCTCAATTTCTTTGCTCTGAGTCAACTTAATTCATGGAGGAAATGTAGTACAACCAGAACGATATCTGACTTCTGTTAAAATAATTAAACAAGAGGCCATTAGACTGAGGTGGCTTTAATGCCTTCCTATCCTACACAAGCACACAAAACCTAAGCCTATAATGCCTCAAAGTTAAGAAATTGAAACCCAAGGACAACTAATCACAAAAGACCAACTCAGCTTTTCCATATAATGCAACCATATAAGCTAGAGCTAATCAAATTCCTGGCTTTGGTTCTGGTTTAGCACTGCCCAGTTCTAATTGATTTTTGCTCAGATAAACTCTTAACATATTTAATATGCTTCCATTCATCTCTTAATACTTCAAAGGGCAAATAGCGTCCAACAAAATAAATAAAATGATCACTAATATTTATGCAACACTTACCATGGTACGGACAAATATCCCATGGGTAATATATTTATTTTCTCATACAATCCTTGCAATAAGTCCAGGAGGTAACAAATGGCAACTCTCAGCCCAGAAGCTTAAGGAACTTGTGCAAGTTGACACAGTTGTGTCTGACTGTTGAAGGAGGAGGAGTGGGAATCTGAACCCGGGAACCCTGTCTCCAGAGCCTGTTTCCTTCTACAGGAAGCTGGTAAGATGACCTTGGCTCAGTCTTATCTAGGGTAGAGAGCATGCACCTTCTTCTCCACATGGTATTTAGTTTGGAAATCAGGCAAGTTGCAATCATTTTGGGCACCGATATAAGGGGAGGCCTGAGGTGCTCAAAGGTGTACTGACAATGTTGAGCAAAACTGGTCCAGGCAGAATATCATTGCCGTTATTGGCTGCTTAATTCCAAATTTCCACATCGACATTTGTCCAACATTCCACATCAACAATGGTCTTATTGGGCTTTAACCCACTGAGCCACCCAAGAGCCCCAACAATGGTCTTACTGGGTTGCCAGAAAGGCCTGTGACCTACATGAGTTCTGATCCTTCCGTGAGACATCCTCCCCTCCCCACTAACATTATTATTCTACAGCATTCCAAAAGCCCCTTCATCTAATTTTCCCGCCAGGAAAATTAGATGCTAATTGTTTAGACCACGATGTATCTAGAGGTATCCTATAACTGTAAACTTTGATCCATAATAACATCAACATCAGTAGCTAAGACACTTCATATCAAGCCTTCTGCTAAGGGCCTCACAAGTAGTATCTCATTTAACCGCATGATAATTCTGTGAGGCAGACATGATTATTACGGAGAGCTGAGGCTCAAAAAAGGTAAGTAACTTGCCTGAGAGATTTTATTTATAAAGTTAACTAATTACTTGTTAATTCACATTATTTTTATATCCCTTTGCTCAAAAAAGAATACAAAGCAATTCACTCACTTGCTGACCCTTCTGTTAATTTATATAACCACACGTCTTTCATACAAGGGCATTAATTTCACTTTGCAATTTCAATATACGATTAATAACTTTTAAAAACACTGTTTCGGTCTAATAAATCACTACTTTGGGATGTATATGATTTGACTATATTCTATAGAGAAGTCAGCTGAAGCAAAAAAGGAGGTGAAGTGTTTATAGAATGAAGGCCCCATTCCAATTCAATCCAATTCCAATCTCATACCCAATGAGAATAGAACAGGCAGCCTTCTGCACTTTGGGGTTATTTAAGCCCCCCCCCACATCCCACATCAATTGTTAGGCATGAGCTGGAATGAATGACCTCGGCTCTGAGTATGAAAATTAAATTCTGTTTTTTAATTGACTTTTCCAGGCAAATTTAATAAAATGATCAAATACAATTGAAATATCGAATTCTTCCCCAGAGCTCTCAAGTTCCTTTCTGCTATAATCCATGTTTGAATCCCATATGAAAACCCTTAGCCTTTAAATCTGCACCATATGTGCCAAAGTGACAGTCGGTCATGCACATACTCAGGGCAGAACTGAGTTTTGGAGACTGGGAACAACTGTCTCCATCCCTTCCCCATACACCCATCCCCACCCCCAGCCCCACAGAAAGGTCAGCCATTCATGTCATGGAGTTGCAGTAAAAAAACACTTTTTTTTCTTCATCCAAACATCTAAGTAACTCGCAACAATCATTTGGCTTGTACCTCATGGCCCAAAGTAAACCAAGAAATCATTTTTAACCAACACAGAACATTGCAGACTCATTGATTCTACTTCACAGGAAATTAGTCATTGATTTCTTAGGACAAATGAGTTCTGGTGAGCTACAGGGGAAACCAAGCCAAAGTGAAAATGAGGTCTCTCACTCCAACACTCATTTAGCTTGTCACTCCTACTATTAGCTTTAGCAACATCTGGGACTTCATTCATTGCTTATTTTTCTCTTACCTTCTCGTCCTATTTCTCTCACTTCTGATTTCCCCAGGACCAGAAGAAGATATGAATAAGAGCCAAGCAGGAAATGTGGCCGAAAAATTTAAACCAGGTCTGAAGAGCTATGGAAGGGGCTCCCAGAATTATCTCACAACCAGCAGCCTTTCATGCAAGGAGCTTTAGGAGCTCAGGAAGAAAGGCTCACTGCACTATTATATCCTTGTGCCTGAGGCCCAGCTCACTGCAGGCTGGTATTGGAAGGTTCTGTGGGCTGGGCTTCCACGCACACCTGCAACCGCCTGTGTGTTGTGAAATGCAGACGATGACTTCTGTCCTAAAAGGTTGCCACTGCAGGCCTTGTAAGCCAGAGTTTGAGAAACCTAACCTGGTAATCTCTTTGACAATCAGAAACTGAACATCATCTTGTAATTCATTTAATCACTATTCATCTGGAAAAAAGAAAAAAGACTATTAATGACTTCTTACGTATTAAGCACTGTGATAGGTAGTAGTAGCAGAGGGCACTGATATGAAGAAGGCAACAAAAGCTATGGACTTCTATAAATACATGTCCGTTCACTTCCCCCTCACCCATCTCCCAGTTTTACGAGTTTGCTTGGGGATATGGGGAGAGAAAGGGGTTTTATAGAGGCAGGAATGCACAGTGGTTCAGAGCAGCATCTCAAGGTCATGAAGTTTAAGTTCCAATCACAACCCTCATATATTTCAATTCAGTAACTTTGGACCAGTTTTGTAACTGCTATGTGCTTCAGTTTCCCGGTCTGTAATCCTGGGATGATAAGAATAAGAGTACTTCCCTCAGAAGGTTATAGCAAGGTTTAAAAGAATGAATTTACAGAGATGATTCAGGAGAGAGCCTGGCAAATAGCACAATGTAATTATTACAAATACTCCCGTCATCCTCTCTGGCTGATCAGATTTCCTACATTTCATTTGGAACAAATTGTCAGTGTGTGTACAGTTCTTTTTCTTTCTTCTTTTTTTTTTTTTTAAGACTTTATTTGAGAGAGGGGAAGGAGAAGTAGATTTTCCATTGAGCAGGGAGCCCAATGCAGGACTCAATCCCAGGAGCCTGAGACTATGACCTGAGCTGAAGGCAGACGCTTAACTGAATGAGCCACCCAGGAACCCCACAGTGTGTACAGTTCTACTAAAAGATTTTGTTCTGATGAGGACAGCTGGTGTCACTCTAAACTAGCATTATGAATGTGTGTGTACAGTTCTTTTTCTTTCTTTTTTTATTTTTTTGAGACTTTATTTACTTGAGAGCAGGAGAAGGAGAAGCAGACTTCCCACTGAGCAGCATGATGAATGACGATGGCACTTATTTTCAAGAGCGACTACGGTACCTCTAGTATTCTAAATTAGGCCTTATTAGTGGGTGAATCTAAACTCAGATATATTATGGTGACAAAGAATCCCTACTTAACCAAACTTTAGTCAGACTCCTCTGAGCCTTCTTCTCGACCAGGTCTTGATTTTGATGTGCTGAACCCAGTTTTAGCAGAAAATCCTGCTGGGCCAGTTTATGAAGAATCCTCCCCACTCTCGGTCCAATTAAACTCTTCTTCCTCCACCTTTGATTTCCAACCAAGTTTGATTTCTAATCCACCCCCACTTACTATCTAAATAAGTTCCTCATTAAGTTGCCATCCTCTCCCTCTTGCTGTCTACCCGCTAGAAATCCCCACTCACTCCAATTTATGTGCGGAATTGAGTTCAATATCCCTCTCCAACAGCAACAGTCTTGGGTCCTATCCCAATGGTCTTGCATAAAGTCTTCCTTACCATTTTCCAGAAGTGCCAGGATAATTTATCTTTAACAATGGAAATAAGGAAATATGACTATTATTGAAATAAGATTCAATCTCTACTCAACATACACCAATGGGAAAAATATTAAATAGACTGGAAGAGTTTGTGATGCTTGGAGACAGACTGCCTTAGGACAGTAGCACGATGAAGGTGAAGAGGGGCAGATTATGAAAACAAGTATAGATAATTTAGATTACTTCCCAGGAATCAACTGTAGGTGTTTTTCCCATCTAAAATAAAAGATAATTACTTGTTTAACCCTCAAACTGATTTTCTGATACTGCTGGTAGTAAGTTATAACATTTTTAGGCACACAGCAGCATGCCTGATGGCAGGATTAAATTGGGGAAAAAACTGGCTGCAAGTTAGATCATTTATCAAGAAATAAAATGTCAAAAATAATTTGATACTTTAGAAAGAAAAAAAATAAATTTAACAGATGGGATTTTAAATGATTAAATTTGAGCTCAAGTTGAATATATTCTGAAGAGAGGAAGGAATTGAAAAGTAGTTATGATAGTTGTATTTTTCTATGTGAACACAGTTTTCAAAACATATTAGTCTTCAGAAATCTTAAATTGGAGATGAGAAAGAGGCGAGAAGAAATATTGATGAGCAGAGAAAATAATGCATACTTACAGTAGTCATGATTTTTTACGTTCCTAGAGGTAAATCACAATTTTCCTGAAGTACTTATAAATAGTAAAAAGTTTGATTTTAAGTTCAAATTTTAGATTTCACCATCTTATCAAAGCCATCTATTAAAACAGCCACTCATTTATGAGACTAAATTCTACCTCCCTTTAGAATTACTGCAAATTAAAAATCTTTCCCTAATACTAAAAAAAAATCTACCCCTAGGATTCCTATCACTGTTGCTTCATGGGAAGAAACCAGTCTAAACCTCCCCCTGTATTCCCAGAAAAAGATTTGATACTGTAATTTATCTATCTTTCATTAGCAAGAAAAAGCTAATAGAGAAGGGGCTGCATGGAGAAAGTGAGTGAGGCCTTTAAGGAAAAACTGCCAAGGCCAGAGTCCATTAAGAATTCACCTTGATGTGGTCCATAAACGCAATGGAAAATTCCTCAGCTGTCACAAATGATGAGTACCCACCATTTGCATCAACATGGATGGAACTGGAGGGAATTAGGCTAAGTGAAATAAGTTAATCAGAGAAAGACGATCATCATACAGTTTCACTCATATGTGGAACATAAGGAATAGCGTGTAGGATCATAGGGGAAAGGAGGGAAAGCTGAATGGGGAGAAATCAGAGACAGAGATGAACCATGAGAGACAATGGACTCCAGAATACAAACTGAGGGTTTCAGAGGGGAGGGAGTGTGTGTGGGGGGGTTACAGTAGCCAGGTGATGGGTACTGAGGAGGGCACATGCTGTGATGAGCACTGGGTGTTATATGCAACTAATGAATCACTGAACACTACACCAAAAACTAATAATGTATCATACAGTGGCTAACTGAACATAATAATAATAAAAACAAAGAATTCACCTTGAATGTCAATGAAAAGCTCAGGTTCTAGCCCTGCTGTTTCTAATTAGCACTATAACTTACTGAGCTCAGTTTGCACACGTGTAATGTGTATGGATGGTGATTTCTAAGTACCCCACTAGCTCTAAAACTCGTGATTTATAATGAGTAAGCACCACAGTAAGAGATTTGGTCCTAAACATTTCAGACGTCTAGGTTTCTAAATCTAGCTTGAATGCTTCTTTTATTCATTCAATTTTTCAATCCGCCCAAAAGAAAAAAAAAGTTGTCTGCATCTAAATTATAAAAAAACGCTAAGGCTTTTCGAGAAAGGGAAACAAATGATGCCATTATTCATCCCCAAAGTACTTTGAAAATGAGAGAGATGATATATGCACTATAAATATAATCATTTGCAAAATTACTTATATTATGCAAATCATTTTTAAGGACTTAAATTGATCTAAATTTTAATTGTTCTTCCTTTTTTTTTCTTTCTACTCAGTTGCAATGTAATGTAAATTATTTTCAAGAAAAGATTTTCTCATATCCATGGTGTGAGGTAATTTATTGAACATGTAGGTATTGTTCTAGGTGCTGAAGCATGCAGCGAACTACAAAGACCCTGTTCTCATGAAGCATACCTTCCATCAGAATTGTCCTGTTTAATAGTATTAGTTCATGATTGGAGAAAAGTATGAAGAAGAAAATAAATACCACCTATGTTAGAATGTTTGAGGTCCCATTTTTTTCAAGCATTTTTTTCCAAGAAAGATTGCAGCAATTTGCAGTCCCAATTACCATGTAGTTTTTATGTCACAAACACTTATTTAGAGTTTATTACGGGCCAGGTCCTGTTCCAAGTGATTTTATAATATTAAGCCATGTAATTCTCATAGAAGCCCTAGGTAATAACAGTCCTTACCTCAGATACAGGATTTTAAGTTGGTAGATTTTTATTTTCAACATTTTAAAGATATCATTCCATTATCTTCTGACTTCTATTGTTGCAGAAAAGTCAGTCCTTGTTCTTACTGTAGTTTTCCTGAACGTAACCCCCCCACCCTTCCAGCTACTTTTAAGATTTTTCTCTTTATCTTTGTTTTAAAGCATTTTCTAGGTGTCTAATTTTTTTTTTTTTTTAAATTGAGTTCCTTCTTGGTGATCTGGCAACAAGTAAGGGCTGGACACAAATTTGGGGTCATGTGCATATGGAACAGAGTATAAATAGATAACTTTATCAAGTGACGGCAAAAGACGAAACAAGAGAAGATATAGCATCCTGAGTAACCCTAAGTATAAAGATGAAAAATGGGTCAGAGAAAGAGCAGCAACAGGAGTAAAATAGAAACCAAGAGTAGAGGTCACAATCATGAAGAGGACCTATCAAGGATAGTAGTGAGCAGTGGTAAATGGAATAGGCAAGAATAAAGACTGGAAATGGGTCACCAGATATAACAATTTTTTTTTTCTCAAGAGAACACATTTGTTTTGTTTTTAGGGCAGAGGTAGAAGTAGAAGCCAGATTTTTATGTATTTGCCTTACATTGTTTCAGGTTCAGACATATATATTATATATATATATATATATATTTTTTTTTTTTTTTTTCCTTTTTAGAAAGAGAGATCACAAGTAGGCAGAGAGGCAGGCAGAGAGATAGGGGGAAGCAGGCTCTCTGCTGAGCAGAGAGCCTGATGCGGGGCTCGATCCCAGGACCCTGAGATCATGACCTGAGCTGAAGGCAGAGGCTTAACCCACTGAGCCACCCAGGTGCCCCTTCAGACTCATATATTTTTATTTTATCTTGAATGTATATTTAAGAAAGAATAAAATTTTTCTGAACATACCTTGGGAATTTCTAGCTACCATTTTTAAAAAGTG